TTTCCTGCTGTGAAGACTCGTGAATGCCACAAGCTGTGAAAGAGGTTCTGAAAACTGTTCCTGCAGCCATTAAAACACAAGAGTGGTTATTTGTAGAGTGTTAAATAATCTGTGTGAATAGATCATGCGTTCTGTAACTAGATTAGAATTTCTTGAAGGATATACTAGTGCTTTGAGGCAACAAATGAAGAGTTTGAAGTGTTCTCTAAGTTTAGGTTTAAAGCTTTAGTTCTGCTTCAATAAAATGGTGCATCACTCAGCATGTAGACTGAAAAAGAAAATTGGGGGTGAAACATTTTTCACTTAGAAATTGCAGTCACAGTTACCATAAGGTTTCATTTGTTCACATTAGTTTACTACATTCGTTAAGATGAACCAACAGCATTTATTCATCTTTGTTAGTTACAAATTGATACTTCAGTAGATGCAGTAAAATGCAGTAGCTGCTCTTTTCCATGCCTCTCACTATTACACACACCCATTGATTGATTGATTGATGCAGTGTTTGGAGGCACTATTTCACGGATGTACCGACTTCCCACGACTGATGGAAACCACCTGCGTGTCCTGGAGCAGATGGCAGAGAGCGTGCTCTCCCTGCACATACCAAGACAGTTCGTCAAACTACTGCTGGAGGAAGATGCTGCCAGGTAAATGCAATTCACGGTTAGTGCTCATGCTCAGAATGACTCTTTTGAAAGGGCACACGAAATGGAAAATCAAAATGTCCTTGTATTTATACATATAACAGGTTAAGCTACATTAAAAACATACTGCAAGTTTCATACCTCAAAGGTAAACTCCCCAGTTTAAAATATGAGTTTTTGTTTTCCACCCTTATGAAACGCTAGGATTAAAGCAATGATTCATCCAAAAAATTTTATTTGCTGAACATTTTCTCACCCTCTGGCCATCCAAGATGTTTCTTCATCCATTGGAGAAATTTAGCATTACAGCACTTGCTCAAGAATGCATCCTCTTGAAAGAATGGGTGCCGTCACAATGAGATTCCACAATAATTCACAAGTAATTCACATGAATCCAGTACATCAATGAACATCCTGTGAAGTAAAAAGCTGCGTGCTTGTAAAAGTCGATAAT